ACACGAACTCAATTTTTAGGATATGACCTTGTTATATATATTTGCTCAATATAATTTTTGTCAACTTCAGAAAACAGGAAATGAGGGGATATTCTATGGGCAAATGATTAGCTAACCTACTTTCATAAATAAAATCCATCCAGAATTAGGTATGAATTTTTAGATTCATGATCAAAATTTTAAAGAGATTTTATACCATCTCCTACCTATAGAGTAGGATCCCAAATAAGACCAAAGAGCAAGGGAACGTAACGCCTTATTTGAAGAGAAAATTTCATGGTTAGTTCAATTTTCAAGAAAATTTTGTTAGAAATTCAAATCATATTCAAAATTAGATCCAAAAATCCTAGATCAACACAACTAAAATCCTAGGATCAACATCATGCCAAATATTAGGATTCGCGGATTCAGATTATATACTTGTATCTATTATGAACAATTTTCTACTGTTGCGGAATTACTGCGACAATCGATCATGTACTGATGAACACGAACAAGGGAGGTGGTTTGTGATCTTCCTCAACCAAATCGCTTTATTCCTCAATAGAATAGTCGTTTCTCTTCTTGATGGGGAGAAGGGAAATTGTTATGTGATTTGGTATATTGGGGACCATAACCAAAATAATATTTATATCTTGCTTAATTAGGGTTCCCATTATCCCCCAATTGGAGCAATACATCCCGGTATCTACTCAATTATCCCATACCAATTTTAGTAGTCTATGGGCATACTAAATTAGACCACTTAATTTCAGCCCATTAAATTAAATTAAATAGCAAATATAATTGTTTTTAATATGTTGCCAATTCTGAATTAAGAAAACCGTGGGTTTTCCTAACAATCTCCCACTTGGCTACATATTTTTCCTCAACCAATTATATTACAAATTCTTTAGGCGAGCATCTGTATACTTTTTATCCTTAGACTTCTCTTTAAAAAATCTGGTCCATCTCATATATTAATAATGGAACCACCACAATTTTCATCACAATACAGTCGTGATTAAACCACTATGATCACCATATCAATACACTTAATGACATAGATCAAATATGGATGAGTAGCATGAAAATCTACATGAAATGTGATCTCAAACATGCCTATTTCCAACTGGTCCTTCTTTAATCTTTAGTGAGATCATTCCAAAGTCCCTAATGCAATGCAAGCATTGCACATAGAACATGTAAAGTAAACATATAGAACATAAACCATCAATTTTATTCTATAGAAGGCTAAACAATTCAATGTCTAAAGCAAACATATAGTACATAAAATTGACTCCCACTAGACCAGAATATCCTTGAAAATAATGTCCATATGAGCAGTGTGCTCATGAAAGACCTTAGGCGTTAAGCCCTTAGTTAGTGGGCCTACTAGCATGGAATTTGTTCCTATATGTTCTATAGAAATATGTCTATCTTGAACTCTCTCCTTAACAACTAGAAACTTGATGTCAATGAACTTCGACTTTGTCAAACTCCTATTATTGTTGGAGTAAAACACCACCGAGTTATTATCACAATAAATCTTTAATGGCTTGTCAATACCATCTACCACTCGTAGTCCAGTGATAAAGTTCCGTAGCCATATTCCATGGTTAGATGTCTCATAACAAGCAATGAACTCCGCTGCCATGGTCGAAAAAGCTATGAGAGTCTGCTTAGTAGACTTCCATGAGATAGCTCCTCCAGCCAACATAAAAACATAGCCTGATGTGGAGCTCCTGCTATCTTGACATCCTGCAAAATCAGAGTCAGAAAACCCGATGACCTCTAAATCATTTAATCTCCGATAAGTGAGCATGTAGTCTTTTGTTCTCCTCAAATAACGCATCACGCATTTGGCTGCTTTCCAATGTTGCATGCTTGGATCACTCAAGTATCTATCCAAACTCCCACTATAAATGTTATGTCGGGATGAGTACAAATTAGAACGTACATTAGACTCCCTACCACTGATTCATATGGAATCTTCTGCATCTATTTTCTTTCAAGATCATTGTCGGGGCACTATTTGAGACTAAACTTGTCTCCTTTAGAGATGGGCGTGTCTCTTAGTCTACTATCTTTCATGTCGAATCTACTCAGAACGTTATGATGTAGCTCTTTTGTGACAGTCCAAGGATACCTCGAGAACGATCTCTCAGTATCTGAGTACCCAATACAAAAGAGGCATCCCCAAGATCTTTCATCTCGAATTTCTTCATCAGAAATTTCTTGGTTTCATACAGTAAGCCTATATCGCTACTAGCGAGCAAAATATCATCCACATATAATACCAAGAAGATATATTTACTCCCACTAAACTTATGATATACACAGTCATCAACAACATTCGCCTCAAAATCGTTTGATGTGATGATTTGATGGAACTTGTGATACCATTGACGGGAAGCTTGTTTGAGACCATAAATGAATTTCTTTAACTTGTAAACCATAGACTTTGGATCTCCTGACACAAAGTTTTCTGGTTGTACCATGTAAATCGTCTCGTCAATGTCTCTATTGATAAATGCAATATTCACATCCATCTGATGTAGCTCTAGATCAAAATGAGCCACCAGTGCCATTATTGTTCTAAAAGAGTCTTTCGAAGATACGGGAGAGAAAGTCTCTTTATAGTCTATGCCTTCCTTTTGAGTAAAGCCTTTAGCAGCTAGATGAGTTTTATATCTCTCAACATTGCCCCTTGAATCCCTTTTGGTTTTAAATACCCATTTGCAACCAATGGGCTTCATTCCTTTAGGCAACTCAACGAGATCCCAAATGTCATTGTCTTTCATAGACTTCATCTCATCCTTCATGGCATCAATCCATTTCTGAGAGTTAGAATTGCGCATGGCTTGAAGGAAGTTGATCGGGTCATCCTCCATTAAACCAACGCCATCCTCATGTTCTTGAAGAAAGATGATATAATCATTTGGAATCGCATTTCTTCTCTCCCTAGTGGATCTCCTCAATGGCACTTCTTGAGGTTGTTGAGTTTGTTCTATATGTGGTGCTTAAGAAAGAATCTCATTGTTGTTTTGGTCTGAAACAATGTCAGGGATAGGAGCCTGAGCATTGTCATCTATTGCCAGGACTGTGTCTTGAAGAACAATAGGTACAAAGACCTGATTGCTGTCAATAACATATTCTTCTTCAAAGACAACGTTCCTTATGTTTCCTTTCCCTCCAAACTCAACATCCTCAAAGAACCTCGCATTTCCCATTTCAAAGAAGGATCTTGATGTGGGATCGTAAAACTTATAACCCCGAAAGCGTTAAGCGTAACCAATGAAATAACAGCTAATTGTCCTTGAGTCCAGTTTTCTTTCATGTGGCCTATAAGGTCGTGCCTCAGCTGGACAACCCCAAATGTACAAGTGCCTAATGTTAGGCTTCTTGCTTGTCCGTGGCTCATGGGGGTTTTGGAAACTGCCTTGCTCGACACCCTGTTAAGGATGTACAATGCGGTCTTCAAAGCTTCTCTCCAAAGTGGCTCTGGCAAGGAGAAATGGCTCATCATACTCATTACCATATCCTTAAGAGTTCGATTTCCTCGCTTTGCAACACCGTTCATGCTAGGTTTGCCCGGCATGGTGTATTACGGATTAATTCCACACTCATTGAGGAAAATAGTGAATGGTCCTGGACATTGTTCTCTTGATCCATCATATCTTCCATAGTATTCACCACCACGGTCAGATCTGATAGCCTTTATTTTCTTTCCAAGTTGAAGTTCAACTTCAGCTTTGAAAGACTTGAAAACGTCCAAAGATTGTGACTTCTCATGAATTAGATACAGATAACAGAATCTAGAGTAATCGTCTATAAACATAATGAAGTATTGATGTCCATACCAAGAAGTCGTAGGGAATGGGCCACAAATATCAGTATGTATTAGTTCTAGGACGTTTGTAGCTCTCTCGGTACCTAATTTTCTCATGTTTGTTCTTTTCCCCTTGATGCACTCAACACAGACTTTGAAGTTTGTTAAATCTAGGGGTTCAAGAATTCCATCTGACACAACCCTCTGAATTCTCTGCTTAGAGATATGACCTAAACGCTTGTGCCATAAAGTGGCGGAATTCTCACTTTGTACCACGTGAGCTTGTTTGCAGTATTTCGTTATAGGAACTAACAATATCAAGTATATACAGATTATCAATCATATAACTGGAACCAACAAAATTTGAATTTTGATAGAGACGAACTTTATTATTTCCAAATGAATAGGAAAATCCTGATTTGTCCAAACTAGAAATAGAAATTAAATTCCGTCTAAAGGACGGTGCAACAAATGTCTCAAACAAATCCAAACAAAATCCAGTTTTTAACTGTAACCTGAAAGTCCCTATAGCCTCTACCACAACTTTATTGTCATCGCCCACAAAGATGAATCTTTCTGCTTCACTTGGCGATCAGCTCCATAAGCAACCCTATATAGACATACTTATGTAAGTAGTAGCACCAGAATCTACCCACCAAGTATCCTTAGGTATAGAAGCTAAATTAACTTCAGAACAAATTAAAGTAAGAAGTATACCCTTCTTTACACGCCAGGCAGCGTACTTGGAACACTCCTTCTTCATATGTCCCGACTTCTTGCAGAAGTAGCAGGTAAACTCCTTATCCTGCTTCTTTTGCTTCTTCTGCTGAGAAGGTCCTTCCGCAGCATCCTTAGCTCTCTTCTTTTTCTTGTTCTGAGAGGTTCAAGCCAAGAGAGCACTCTCTATCTTATCATGCTGCTACCTCTCTTCTTCTTGTACACAGTGAGATATGAGCTCATTGAGGGACCATTTGTCCTTCTGAGTGTTATAACTCACCTTGAATTGCCCAAAGTGTGTAGGAAGAGAGATCAAAATCAAGTGCACAAGCAAGTCATAAGACAGCTCCAACTTAAGCGACTTGAGGTTTGATGCGAGATGAGACATCTCCATAATGTACTCCCTTATGTTCCGTTTGCCCTTATACTTCATCGAAAAGAGTTTAGCCAAAAGGTTACTCGCCTTCGATTTTTAATTCTTGGCAAAATATTGTTCAATTTCCTTAAGGAACTTCTTAGCGATCCTGCTCTCAGTAATAGAGCCCCGAAACGCTTTTGAAATGGAACGTTTCATGATCATCAAGCACATTCGGTCAGAGCGATCCCACCTTTCAATTTTACCCTCATTGGGGTTTTTCGGAGTAGAAGCGGGTTGATCCGAACGAAGTGCAAGATCCAAATCCATACGGCCGAGGACAATCTCCACGGCTTCTTTCCAAACCTTAAAGTTCGTCCCACTCAACATTGGGATGTTGTTGACTTGAGCAGAGACGTTCGCAACATTAGCAATAGAAACTGTATAGAGAACAAAATAAACAAGCATGTCAAATAAGAAAAACAAGACATGCACAAATAATCCAGATTTGGGGATTTATCTCAAGATACCTAGTACAACATTAATTTCTAGTCCTTGGATAGAGAAATTAACTGTAAGTGGTACTCTCAGTACAATGATCAAATATTGACAATTAGTTTTGTCAAAAAATAGTCTTTCTTTGGACCAACTATTGTTCACATGAAAAATCTTTATAATTATCACACATTAATCATCATAGGTGCGTTGTTGTTTGGCTAAACTGTGTCTTTCTTTGGGCCAAGCACAACTCGCATAAATGACTTCGCATAAAACATCTATGCATTTTCAATTGAATTAATTTACACAACAAGGGTTACTTTGGCAACATGTTGCTTTAATCAATTCAATTGAATATACTAGACATTTAAAGTAACAATCAAAAAAGTTGGAATTTATTCTATATCCAAAAATAATTAAAAAAAAAATAAATAACTAAATTTAGAAACTTGAGGGAGTTCATCAACTGAATCTCCTTTTTTTTTTTTTTTACAGCACAAGTTCTGGGTCCGTTATGAGATAAAAAAAAAAATAGAGGACAACAATTGCGGCTGAATCTTTATGCAATTGAAATTGTGGATCCGTATGAAAGGTGGCAGATATTACTAATCTAGACATTAATATGCTCCCATGAAAAATACTGCTGCACACTTCATATACTATTCAATACTGAATCCATCATGAGAAAGAAGGGTCAAAAATTGCGGCTGGACCGATTATGCAATTGAAATTGACCCAATCTGGATTCATAATGAAAGGCCACCGATTTTGACAGCAATCAATATGCTAAAAAAATGTGCTTAATACTTTGAGAGGATGCCTATTTTGTCATATATTATTCAATGTTGTAGTCACGTTGAAAATGATCCTAAGACAGAAATATTAAGGCTTTAATTGAGAAAGATAACATCACACACAAAAAAAATAATAATAATAAAAATAGACGGGTTGAAAAAATTACCATATTTTCCCCAATTATATGAAACCAAATTCTAGATCCATTATGCATCAAGAATAATTCTTAAACTTAGTAGTTTTAGGAATTTCACAAAATTCAAATATTCCATTCGAAAAATAATCCAAACACCATATGAACAGAATATGAACAAATCCTAATAATCTAGCAAATGATGACCGCTCTGATACCACTTGTTAGAAATTCAAATCATATTCAAAATTAGATCCAAAAATCCTAGATTAAAACAACTAAAATCCTAGGATCAACATCATGCCAAATATTAGGATTCGCAGATTCAGATTATATACATGTATCCATTATGAACAATTGCCTACTGTTGCGGAATTACTGCGACAATCGATCACGTATTGATGAACACGAACAAGGGAGGTGGTTTGTGATCTTCCTCAAGCAAATCGCCTTATTCCTCAATAGGATAGTCGTTTATCTTCTTGATGGGGATAAGGGAAATTGTTATGTGATTTGGTATATTGGGGACAATAACCAAAATAATATTTATATATTTTCGAAAAATAATCCAAACACCATATGAACAGAATATGAACAAATCCTAATAATCTAGCAAATGATGACCGCTCTGATACCACTTGTTAGAAATTCAAATCATATTCAAAATTAGATCCAAAAATCCTAGATCAAAACAACTAAAATCCTAGGATCAATATCATGCCAAATATTAGGATTCGCGGATTCAGATTATATACATGTATCCATTATGAACAATTGCCTACTGTTGCGGAATTACTGCGACAATCGATCGCGTACTGATGAACACGAACAAGGGAGGTGGTTTGTGATCTTCCTCAAGCAAATCGCCTTATTCCTCAATAGGATAGTCGTTTCTCTTCTTGATGGGGATAAGGGAAATTGTTATGTGATTTGGTATATTGGGGACCATAACCAAAATAATAATTATATATTGCTTAATTAGGGTTCCCATTATCCCCCAATTAGAGCAATTAATCCCGGTATCTACTCAATTATCCCATACCAATTTTATTAGTCTATGGGCATACTAAATTAGACCACTTAATTTCAGCCCATTAAATTAAATTAAATAGCAAATATAATTGTTTTTAATATGTTGCCAATTCTTAATTAGGAAAACCGTGGGTTTTCCTAACAAATTTAATATTCAAAGTGCATGTCAGCAATGTAACAATCACGGATAAAATCAATGTGCTAGAGTATTATTTTCATGGCGCAACATATAAAATTTTAATATAGGACGCAAATTAGATTAATTCTTTAACCATTTCAAGTGGCATGGTTTATTAATTAAGAAAAACGATACAGTACATATTTAGGAGGGCCTCGACATAATGTTCAGGTAGAGTTGCCAAAAACAAAAACAAAAAAAACAAAAATCTTATTTCGTTCAAAAATAGAGAGTACAATAAAAGAGCTAATAGACCACATCATCAAACACCAAGTTTAATGTCCCTTTAACTTTTGGTCACATTCGAAGTTATAACTTGAAAGAGGTTCTGAAAATTTTTTATTGTAGTCATATATTAGGAAGTCCATAGCTTCGTCACAATTCCGATGAATATATTCAAAATCGATATACAAACTGTTGAATGTCTAATTGACAATTAACAAAACTATGTTTAGAACTGTAAATACTGATGAGATTGTTCATGCCTATAGTGTTTTACCGGTCTTCGTCATGTCGAGCGATCCAAACATAGTCTCTCTCTTTTTCTTTTCTTTTTTTCTTTTTAAAAAATTAACTAATTAATAATTAAAGTGAAATGAAAAACTAAAAAAAAAAAAAAAGTATACTTGCTATTTTGTTATGTCACTTGGCAAACTATAACTGCATTTGTTTATATGGGAGAGAGATGAGATGAGATGAGAACCACGAAGTTCATCCAAAATTCTTGGCAAGGAGCCAAAGACAATGGAGAAATTAAAGGAATACCACAATATGAAAACCTCCATCAGTGAACGTTGCTTGCGGGTAATGCCCAAAAATTCTAACCACTCCTCTTATGTATAAGAATGACCCCAACCCTTTTTTACACTAAAAATTTCACTTGTCAGAGATAGGAAATTTTCAGAAATGGCTAGACTGAATCTGTTGTTTTTTACCCTAATATCATGCCTTTCAACACTGTCCATGGTCCATTCTGAGGACCCTTATTTGTTTTTCACATGGAATATTACTTACGGAGATCTTTCTCCCCTGGGAGTGCCTACACCAGTAATTCTCATTAATGGCCAATTTCCAGGTCCAGAAATCAACTGCACTTCAAACAATAACATTGTTGTCAATGTGTTTAACCACCTTGATGAGCCATTTCTTTTCACCTGGAATGGGATTCAGCAGAGGAAGAATTCTTGGCAAGAAGGAACTCTGGGCACGACCTGTCCTATCCCGCCTGGTAAAAATTTTACGTACCATTTCCAGGTGAAAGATCAGATTGGTAGCTACTTTTACTACCCCAGCACCTCGATACACCGTAGTGCAGGTGGCTACGGAATGCTCAAAGTCCACAGTCGGGATCTTATCCCCGTGCCATTTGACAGGCCAGAGGCTGAATACGCCGTTTTGGCTGGTGATTGGTACAGAAAGGACCCTGCTACCTTAAAGAGGTTGTTAGACAGCGGGCGGACTCTTGGTAGGCCGGACGGTGTTATCATCAATGGTAAGCAAGGCAAGGGAGATGGTACAGATGAACCCATGTTCACCATGATCCCTGGAAAGACTTACAGATATAGAGTTTGTAATGTGGGAATGAAAAACTCCATCAATGTCAGAATTCAAGGCCACACATTGAAACTGGTAGAGATTGAGGGATCCCACACTGTTCAGAATGTGTATGATTCTCTTGATGTGCATTTGGGGCAATGCTATTCATTTTTGGTGACTGCTAATCAAGAACCAAAGGACTATTATTTTGTGGTTTCCACACGATTCACGAAAACCGTCCTCAGCACCACTGCCACCATCCGATACGAAGGTGGCAAGGGCCCCGCTTCCTCAGCGTTGCCTGAGGCACCAGTCGGGTGGGCCTGGTCCCTCAATCAGTTCCGTTCCTTCCGCTGGAACCTGACAGCCAGTGCAGCCAGGCCTAATCCTCAGGGCTCCTACCACTATGGCCAAATCAACATTACACGCACAATCAAGTTGGTGAATTCAGCTGGTACCGCTGATGGAAAGCTCCGGTATGCTGTCAATGGCGTATCGCATAAAGATCCGGAAACTCCATTGAAGCTGGCTGAATACTTTGGGGTTGCAGATAAAGTGTTCAAATATGACATTATTCAGGATGAACCACCTGCAGAAACAAGTGATAAGGTCACAGTTGCACCCATTGTACTCAACACCACTTTCCGCAACTTTGTTGAGATCATATTCGAGAATCATGAGAAGAGTGTCCAATCATGGCATTTGGCTGGATATTCCTTCTTCGCTGTTGCGTAAGCATATTTCATTACAGCATTCAATTTCTTTTGATTAACCTCATCATATATGCTTTTCTAAGTAGCTATTAATGACCACATTTGCTACTACACAACACTAACTCCAGATAACACGAAGCAACCCAAGGGCTCTTACATTAAAATTCAAATTAAATTACCACATTTTCTATTGCTTCTCTTTTTCTTCCCCATTTATTTCCGCATATCCTACACTAGTGCCATGTATAGTATACAAAACTATACATGACTTGAGAGTATAATGAACATAAGTTAATCTTCTTTTTCTTCATTAATATTTCAATGTTGACCAATCCCCCTTATTTTGACATATCCTTAGTGGATATATGATAACCGGGTGTAACTTACGCATGTGCATGCATATAGACACTAACACAATGCACGAACGCAACAGGATTGAACCAGGAAGATGGACACCAGATAAGAGGAAGAATTACAATCTTTTGGATGCAATAAGTAGGAACACAATCCAAGTATATCCAAAGAGCTGGGCAGCCATTATGACTACACTGGACAATGCTGGAATGTGGAGCTTAAGAGCACTGACTCTTGAGAGGCAGTATCTGGGACAGCAGCTCTATTTCAGCGTACTCTCACCAGAGCGCTCTCTTCGCGATGAATACAACATTCCTGACAATACTCCGCTGTGTGGAATTGTCAAGGGTTTGCCTATGCCAGAACCCTACACTGCCTGATTCAGCTTTCGAAGTTGCGCAAAGGATTTACAGTGGAAGCATTAATGGATGGCATATTCATGCCTGTTGGAGAAAGAAACAAGAGTTACAGATTTTATTTTTGAAACCCACCTAACTGAAAAAGCAAAAAAAAAAAAAAACATAGAGAAGAAGATTGTATGCCAGTGAGATTTTGCACAGCCACCGTTTTTGGTTAACTATAGGTTTTGTGTTTTTAGTTTTTTGTTAAAGTATTATTTTATTTATTTTCAAGTGAATCAAATCCATTGAATCAAAATAAATACAAATGGTGTCAATGTGTACAATTTGAGTGCACTACACAGGAATGTGGTATATATGGTGCTACGCCATCTTAGGTTTGTACAATTAATTGTAGTCGATGGCACATGCACAAATTGTGCTTTACACTATAAGACACAACAACTATATGCACGCAACTTATTCCTTAATTTCAATGGATTTCGGGAGACTCCACTTCAACTAATAACCCCTCTGAATATTGTGGGTGGCAATAATACCTTTAGTACTCGATTTATCAGAGATACCTTGTTCAATATGTTTCCTATATGAACAAACATACTCGACCCTTAGTACCTGTGCTTGATAAATAGTCGAATCACCTTCTTGAACATATATAGCAAGAAAATAAGCTTACTCCTTTCCAAGGCCTTAACTCTCAACTTGAGTACGTAGTCTAATTCAACGAAGTTAACAGATAAGAAACATTAAAGTTTTAACTAATTGAATGATCTGTTTCAATTAAATAAGCAAACATTCCAACTACCACTGTAGTGTTGGGAATTTAGTTAAACATGTGCAGTGGAAATAAAAACAATTTCAATTCCCATCAGAATTCATCTTTGTATTTAGATATGAATTGTGATAAAAGTTATACATTTTCTTAGATCTACAAACTCCTTTCTGTTATACTTACTCTAACAACTTGGATCTGCCTCTTACAGTTGTTCAATCATCCAACCTCCAATGAATTTCACACAGAGAACAGATTGCAGCTACTAGGGTTTTCTTCTCTTGTGCTAGCAAGAATTATGAGATTCTCTACAAATTGAAAACCCTAGCCATATATTTATCTAAACCCAAACGGGCTTGATCTGGTTTGGTCCAATATTTAATTAATCTATTTAATTAAATTCGGTCCGTGAATTAATTGATTCATTAATTAATTAGGACCTATAAATAACCAACCCAATTAATTAATTTATCCAGCGATTATAAAATTAATTAATTGACAAATTGCAATCTTCCAATTCTCTTTTGTGTGCAACCCATTAGGTTTCTAACCACGATACTTAACGACATGAAATATTATTTTGATCTAATCAAAATTGATAAATTAAAACACCCTTTTAATTTATCATAAATTTGCACTCGTCGTCCCAGATTGATATCTAGCAATGTATCAAGGCAACACATGTGACGGAAAATGTCACATGGTATGACAAAACCAAACATGTCCATTTACCATGAAACTATAATTCCTTCGTCAATATGATCTGATCAATTACGACATATGAAAGTGTGTCAATCTCGATTATCGATCATATCTTTCATTCTACTATTAAGTCAATATGAGTCCAAAACTCATTTTCAACTTATGAGTACACCTTGGCCAAGTATTTCATTATCGACTTAATTGAACAAAATGCATATCATAATCTCTTACTATCTAAGAGTGACGAATTCTCTATTAGTCATTCACAACCTTCATATGGTTCTTGAAATACCCGAACGATGCCGTATTAGCAGCCCTTGACAGAGCAACATCCAACACCGTCAAAGCATAACTGTCCTCATACAAGGCACTATGACGACCACAAGTCAAATGACCAATTCCACTACCGAACGTTAGAGATTAACCATTGACACTCAGATAGTTATCCATGTGGAATCTCTTAGCGGGTCTCCCACGTTTCGTTCTATAAGAAAACATCCACATGTTCATTTAAGTGTCACCACACTTCAGCTTGTGAGATTAGTTACTTACTTCACAAGTAAGAAATGTCACACGTGATAGTCTATCCGTAATAACGATATCCGTATCTAGTTATTACTTACGACCATGGATTATTCAATATGTAATTTGCATCTCACAATCACAATTTCTTGTGATTAACAAATCACTTAAACTTAAATCTTCGTACTCTATTATTTAATATTATTTATCAGAATATTAATTTAAATAAATAATGGATCTTGCCAAAATGAATGCATTAAACATATTAAAGTGTTTACAACCTAAATCGATTGGAACTAGGGCATAACACTTACAAATAGTTTGTTCAAACCTTACAAATGTTGGGAATTTACTTAATCATACACGGTCGAAAATAAAACTAATTTCAGTTCCCACCAAAAATTTTATTTGTGCTCAGAGAGAAACTATGACAAAGAATTATACATTTGATGAATTCCTTGAATAATAGTTTTAACCTGTGATCCATAGTTGTCCAATCGTTCAGCCTCCAATTAAAATCTACACGGTGAACAAGATTGAGAAAACTAAGGTCCATTTTTTTCTTCTTGGTATGCTAGGAAGAATATGAATTGTATTCTCTATGGATTTTTCACACCCTAGACACCTATGACTCCAATCGGGCTTGGCCCGTCTTTTAAACTTAACTCAATCAATATTTAATTAATTCAATTAATTAAATGTGGTCTATAAATTAATTAATCCAATTAATTAATTCGAGCCTATAACAAGCAACCAAATTAATTAATTGTCCAATACTTGTCAGTTAATTAAATGTAAATCTTATTCTTTTAATTCTCATTTTCTGTTTAACACATTAGATTCACCATCACAATGTCTAACGATGTGAACTATTATTTTGATCTAATCAAAATCGATAATTAAATTATCTCTTTTTAATTAATCACAAATTCACATTCATCATTTTAAATTGACATCTAGCAATGTGTCAGAGTAATATATGTAACAAGAAATGTCACGTGTATGACAAAATCAAACTTATTCGTTTACCATGAAACTTTGATCCTTTCCTCGATATGATCCAATCAAATACAAGATATGTATATGTATCAATCTCAATTATTGATTATATATTTCATTTTACTATTAAGTCAATGTAAGTTGAAAACTCATTTTCGACTTATGAGTACACATTGACCAAGAATTTCATTATCAACTTAATTGAATGAAATATAGATCATAATTTCTTATTATCTAAAAGTATTGAATCCTCTATTGATCATTCAAAACTTTCAAATAATTCTCGACATACCCGAACAATATCATATTAGCAACCTTTGACTGAGCAACATCCAATATCACTAAAATAAGACTGTCCTCGAATAAGGCATTATGATGACCTCAAGTCAAATGATCAATTCCACTACCAAACGTTAGAGATTAACCGCTAACACTCAGATAGTTATCTATATAGAATTTTCCCAATGGGCCTCCAATATTGTATTCTAAAACAAAATATCCACATGTTCATTTAAGTGTTGCAATACTTTAATTTGTGAGATCAACTACTTACTTCACAAGTATGAAATGTCACACATGATGCTCTATCCTTAATAATGATATTCGTATCTCGTTATTACTTGTTACTACATATGATTTAAGATTCAGTTTATATAATTTGTATCTTATAATCACAACTCCTTGTCATTAACAAATTACCAAGACTAGAATTTATGGATTCTATTATTTGATTTATTAATATAATAAATTAAATAATAAATCTGCCATAAATGAAATGCATCAATTATATTAAAAATATTTATCTCCAACGTTGATTGGACCTAGGGCATAATATTTACAAACTCCCATTTGCACTAGATCCAATCACTTATGTATCTAATATCACAAGAGTCTACATGACAATTACGTTTACGTTATGACAACTTTTTATCAATGAAGCTGCAATGTTATCATTTGTGAGATTTCATTCTTTCTTTATGTCATTTCTTTGTATTATCTCTCTACTAAGAGGATACCATCTTAACACATGTTTGGATCATTGATGAGACCTTAGTTTCTCTGCTTGAGCGTGATGGCTCCATTGTTATTACAATAAAAAAGTATACGATCAGCAATGTTATAAATTACTCCAAGTTCATTAATGAACTTCTTGATCCACACTGCAAGTCCTCCTTCATGTCTGGTGGTATCATATTGTTGATCACAACTACTTTTAAGAAAGATCCTTCCCCCTCTTTGCTACTTCTGAAGCAGTAGTGTATTAGTTTCTGCTAGTGAATCAATGGTTATTTCATGTTTGAAACCATTCCAACTAACCTCTCAATTATTAAGAGTAAACCATATCTTTATTGAGATACCTATCATTCCAGTTTGACTAGAAATTAGCATCAATGTACCCATGAACTCTTCTCAATATTTTATCTACATAGATCTAAATGAGTTAATTAATCTTGTAGATCTATCTCTATAAATCAAGTTGCTTCTCTTGTATTTTTCATATAGAGATGTCGTTTCCTGTTAATAATATGGCATCTATATAAAATATTAGGAATATGACAACACTCTCACTATCTTCTTGTAAACTCACAGTTCATCTTCATTTTTTATAAAATCAAACATTTTGATTGTCTCATCAAATCAAAGATTCTAGCTTCAAGAACGTTGCTTTAATCCATATATGGATTGATAAAGGTTGCATATCTTATAAGCACGTTCGGAATCAAAAACTTCGAGTTGTGTCATGTGCACTTCCTTTTACAGGTTTATGTTAATGAATGCAATTTTGACATAACTCATATTTATGGTATGCAACTATTGCAAGCAAAATTCGAGTGGACTTTAGTATGTCTATAGGCTATAAGGTTTCATCAAAGCCAACTTCTTGTCTTTGTTTATAATCTTTTACTATTAGCTTTGCTTTGTATGTATAGATGTTTCCGTCCATGTCAACCTATTTGTGTGAACTCATCTACAACCTATGGGTTTTATCCTTTCATACTAGTCGATAAAGGTCTTAAACTTGGTCTCATACATTGAGTTCATCTTGAATTCCATGGCCTTTTGCCATCTATCCAATTATGGTTAAACCTAGGACTGTCAATGGATTGGATTTTGATCTGAATTCGAGGGAATTAATGGGAGATTGATTTAGGGTCTCAATCCGATAATTCGATTAAGATCCGAATTTGATAATCCATTAACTAAATGGAGCAAATATGGATATAGGTTCGTCCAATCTGATAACAATCCGATCCGATTTATTATAATAATATAACATATTTTATATATTATATCATAATCTAGGTA